GTATGTACCTGGTATTTTTGCAAACCTATTTTCAGTAACCGCTGCTCAAGATTTAAATGTAAATAGTAAATTTGTATCGACATCCAAGGATTGCACTTTGTTTGATAGAAATGGTAAACCACTCATCAAAGGACATCGAAGTCAAGGCGGAGGCTTGTTTAAATTAGCAGTAAGAAAATCAGCAGACCTCATGGCTGTTATGGAAGGAGTTCCAGCTGTTGATCAGTTGCAGTTACTTCATGAACGACTAGGACATCAAAGCAAAACTCATGTACAAGAGTTTGCAAGAAGAGAACTGAACCTTAATCTCAAGCTTGACAATGAGGTATGTGAAGGATGTGCTTATGGGAAAATGCACAGGACACAATTCAGAAGCAGAGATGAACACAGAGCTTCAGTACCTGGTGAAATCGTTCACTCTGATGTTTGTGGACCTTTCTTTGAGTCGATTGGAGGTTCAAAGTACTTTGTATTGTTCAAGGATGACTTTACTCGCTACCGCAGTGTTTATTTTATGAAGACAAAATCTCAAGTTGTAGAGAAGCTGAAGCAGTTTCTTGCAGAAGTCAAAGTCACAGGCCATGTAATATGTAAGTTGAGATGTGATGGAGGAGGTGAATTCGACAATGAAAGTATTAGACGAGTCCTTCAAGTGAATGGAATACAACATTTGATCACAATGCCATACACACCACAACAGAATGGATCTGCAGAGAGAGAAAATCGGACCATAGTTGAATGTGCAAGGTCAATGATGCATGCTCACGGTGATCTGCCTCAAGGCTTGTGGGCTGAATTGATAAACACTGCAGCCTATATTTTGAACAGAACTGCTAAGTCATCAGTTGCCGGAAAGACTCCATATGAATCATGGTTTGGAAAAAGACCTACGATAAAACATTTACGGGTTATCGGGACAGATTGTTTTGTCCATATTCCAAAGCAGAGAAGACGTAAGTTTGACAAGAAAGCGATGAAATGCAAACTTATTGGATATGATGGTAATGATGGATATCGTCTCTGGAATTCATGGAAATGTACTGTCATTCGGTCCAGGGATGTAAAATTTTTGAAAGAGCCTATTAGTGAATCCATAGTAAATAGGCCTATATCTTCAGAAAAAAAAGTCCCCGATGAAGCAAAAGATGAGAACTGTTCAGCCCCTGTAGTAGAAAATGTCCCCATTCTCTTTCCTAAAGATGAATCGGAAGAAGATAAATTGACAGACGAGGAAGCAGAACAACATGAAGAAAATGTTGTGCAAACTCGCCAACTCCGAGATAGAGCTATGGTAAGGCAGCCCATTCGTTTTGAAGATTTTGTGATGAGTGCTGTTATGGGGAACACACACTATGAACCTAATACATACATGGAGGCATCGAACTGTGAAGATCATCTCCAATGGCAAAAAGCAATGGAAGATGAGATTAACTCACTTCACATGAATGAAGTGTGGACACTTACTGAACTACCCAAAGGTCACAAAGCCATACCTTGTAAATGGGTATACAAAGTAAAAACAAATGCGGATGGATCCATAGAGAGATACAAAGCCCGTCTAGTAGTGAAAGGATTTGCACAGAAGAAAGGAATTGATTATAATCAAACCTTTAGTCCAGTAGCAAAAATGCCAACAATCAGAAGTGTTATCGCAGTAGCTGCTAATGAAGGAATGAAACTCACACAATTTGATGTGTCTACTGCCTTTTTGTACGGCAAAATAAATGAAGAAATTTATATGCATCAACCAGAAGGATTCAGTGATAACAGTAATCACGTCTGCAAGCTTAATAGAAGTTTGTATGGTTTGAAACAAGCACCAAGATGCTGGAACGAGAGAGTTGGAATGGTCCTAACAAAACTGGGACTGAAAAAGAGTGATGATGATCCATGTCTTTTTATCCGTAACAACAATGGACATAAGTTAATCGTTGTTCTATATGTTGATGATGGACTCATTGCTTCAACTCATGATGAAGACTTAAATTCATTCCTAGTAGAATTGAAAAAAGAATTTAAAATCAAGTCAAAACCAGCAGATTATTTTTTAGGATTGGAGATTTCCAAATCTGGTGAAAATATCAAATTAAGTCAAGGAGGATATGTTTCAAGAATTTTGGAAAGATTCAACATGGAAAACTGCAGATCAGCACCAACACCTATAGTAAAATCTGAACAGGAAGACAAAAGAACAGATGAGACGTCTTTTCCGTATCGAGAAGCTGTTGGAGCTCTTATGTACCTCATGGTTAGTACCAGACCGGACATAGCGTACGCAGTGAGTGTCGTCTCCAGAAGCCTAGAAAATCCTACAATAAATGATTGGTGTCGAGTGAAGAGAATACTCAGATATCTTCAGGGTACTAAAGATTGTGGAATCGTGTACAAGAAGCACATTGGAAGTTCTTAATTGCTACAGTGATTCAGACTTTGGTGGTGACCATGAAACCAGGAGATCGACAACAGGACTACTGACTCTGTACGCAGGTGGAGCGATATCATGGATCAGCCAACGACAGCCTTCTGTTCAACTTTCCACTACGGGAGCAGAGATAGTAGCTGCGAGTGAGGCGGCCAGGGATGCAATTTGGTTAAAGCGATTACTAAGTTCATTAACTGAACTTAAAAGTACACCTGTGATCTTCGTAGACAATGAAGCTGCAATATGTCTAGCACAGAATCCAGAGCATCACAGAAGAACGAAACACATTGAAATAAAACACTTTTTCATTCGAGAACAAGTGACAGCAGGAAACCTTGAAGTGAAGAAAATTGACACAAGTGAACAACTACCTAGCTGATTTGTTTACAAAACCTCTTCTTGGACCAAGATTAAAGGTTTTAAGACAGAAAATTGGACTGGCTTAACGTTCCTATGAAGTCTCTAAGGAAGCCTTGAGTAGGGGGAGTGTTGCATATAACAACTATTGGACTATGTTTATTATATTTAGTACTCTTTGACTTCCTTATGAGAATTCAAATGTTTTTGTTTTACATATGGTTTTCTGTTCTTCATTAATTATTCAGTAAATAAGTTTGACCAACATAGTACATTATAAAAGTTTCTTCCAGTAAAGTATTCTTTTCATTTCATTCTATTTAACTTGTAACAATAGTATTTTATAACAATAACAACACAATATAAACAGAAATACCCCCGCCGCAGCAAACCTGCCGTCTAAGCGAATTTCCATTTCGCCGAATTGATTTTCAATTGATCTATTTAAATAACATTAGGTTTAACGAGTACCTAGGTTTGCTGCTACAAGGAAACTAATAATAAAGTAGTGTGTTTTTAGTAAAATATTGATAGCTTACTATAAAATAAATAAATTTGCCAAGTTTGATCAAAATATATCCATAAACAAGCAAACTACAACATTTTACAATATTCTCCATAAGAATAACATGGGAATTTTAAATTTACCATTTTTTTAGTTTTCTCCGTAACCAATAACCGTACAAAAACACTTTGATATACTGAATTGTTTGTTTTTTTAAGCTCTTTAAGAAGGTTTAGAGAAAAATTGGGAAATTTTGTGTTTTGAGGGTAAGAAGTGAGAAAAACCAATTTTTACCCCATAAAACCCCCCATAAAACCCTGTTCCCATGGTCCGATCATGCTGGATCGCGAACTCATTCAAGTTTATCCCGCCTTACACCTTCAAACCAAATTTCATCAAAATCGGATAAAAATTACTCAAGTTATCGTGTTCACGGACACATATATATATATATAAATCTATATATATATATACCTATATATATATACATATATAAAAATTTGAACGAATGGTGTTTTTGGCCTCTGGGGACATTAAAATGAAAAAGTAAATCGGTCCCGGGCATAAGTCTTACCATGAGACCTACGGTAATAGCTACTTCCCTATAGGGAAATTCGCTAAAACAAAACAAATGGAAGAAATTCCAATCACATATTTTATTTATGGCATCCGCATAGGGTGAAGATAGAGAAGTCTGAACATTACATGTTTTTGATCGAGTTTTGACCACTGTACGGCCTCTAGTATATAGTATTCTGGGTTTTCAACAATTTGCACTATTTTTATTTATAGTCACACAAACCATAACCATACTTAGGCCGCCTTCTCACTGGGTCGCAGCCACGCATGTCCCTTCCCACACGGTGGCTGAGACCTTCTTGCTAACCTCGTGTCATGTTCTATTCGTCAAAATGGATTAGAGTGATGAGGAACTCCTGCTTGTGCTTTTGTTATGTAGAAGAAGAAGGTGGAGAAGAAAACGAAAAATGTGGATGGAAACTATTCTTATAAGTAGGCAAGACGGGTACACTTCCATATCTGTTGGCACAAACAACCGAATGAGTAGTATTGATTATTCGATTGTTTGATTCGATATATCGTTTGGTTAGTTAGGTTAATTTAACCTTACCTAACTAATCGATATATCGATCGATATTTTCATTCGGTTGTTTGTGCCAACAGATATGGAAGTGTACCCGGCAAGACAAAGGCTTGTAGGCTATTCCACATTATTTGATAAACTTTGCGCGCATGAAGACAAGTTTTTTAATAACTTCTTTAGGGTGTCACTATCATGATAGGAGCTTCTTGGTTACATTAAAGGAGATTTAATTTACAGAGTCTAGACGACAAAACAAGCTGCGCCCCCATCCCCCAGAGCAAGGTCCAACCACCTAGTGGGAAGATCCAGGTTTACTACAATGGTCCGCTACGAGTTGGGTTGCTGAAAATGCACGGTGGCAGCCCTACAACCTAAACAAATTTTGCAAAAACCACAACTAGGCCTACACACTACACACCTAAGATGGACCATCATTGATAGTTTCTGACACCTCGTCATCCAAAAATCAAGAATTGGACTTTAAACCCTAGCTTGAAAGTTAACTTGGTTGATTTTTTACATAATACCGCAGAGGACTCATGTTTTATTGTGGTGGCTTGTTAGGTTGTATATCGGTTCATATTTTAAAGAAGCAATTGAACTTTAAGGCTTACCAGGCTTATTGATGTCACTTACTGAAGGTTGGAATATTGATTGTACACAATATACTACTTGGTCCTGGTAACAACCAAAATCTTTGCCTTATTCATTCATTTAGGGCCTAACCTTCGTATTTAAAAGTCAACATTTACACCACTAAACGATCATAAATGGGTAATTAATTGTCCTGATAGATATAGTCAAATGTCAATTAATTAATTACATATCACTCGGTTTACAAAGAAAACTATTCTGTTTACCTTGTATAGTTGTTTATATTTTTACATAATTGTATGTCATTGTCAAAGTCTAACTGACAGAAAGGACCAGTGTTCAGGGGCGTCGTCTTGGGGGGGGTAGGGGGGGGAGCCTCCCCCCCTAGAATCCTGGAAAGAGAAAAGTTGGGAATTTCCTTGCCACGAGTTGGGACAGTTGGGAAATCAGATACAAGAAAAATATATTTTTAAACTAAATAAAATTTAAAAATATTTGCGAAAATCCATCAAAGATCAAAATTTCTTTGACTTGGACGAATAAACTTGATGTTTCTTTGATTTAATTTAACTTTGATTAAACTAGGCTAAACCATGGCTAAACACGCCTTATTTTAAGAAATCGTTAACCAATTAGCGGTATAGTTTGTTGGAATTTCGTTTACGAGAAATTTTGTTCCTTATTGGACGTATGTTGGCTACCTTGATCCTGTCCTGTGTTGATGATTTTCTGAATGGTTCGTCTGCGAGACTGCGAGTTTGAATTTTGAAAGTGCAAGCGGCGTAGCTCTTCAGTTCAATTATGTTGTTTGTTAGTGTTTACAAGAAGTTCAAAAATATTTTTCATGTCAGTCAAATAAACTATATTTTATACCTTTTTTTGTAGTATTTGGAGCAGGCTTACTGACAGGAGTACTTGCTAATAGGTAGATTAAAATAACATTAAAGATAGGTTTTGTATATCGGTATTGCCTTTAAAACTCTAATTTTTAATAACCTAAATGAAATATTTATTCTCTGAATATTATCTAAAAAATCTACAAAAGTGATTTATCATTCCTAATTAAGAATTTACAAAAATGAATCAACTAATCACTCTGAAACAGATCTACATAGAAAATAGACAAAACATAACCTAAAATTTGATGTTTGACTTTCACGTTTGAGTTTGATTTTTGTCCAAGTTCTAGTTTGATGAAGATGAAGGTTAACATTTTTATTGTATGTACTAGCTGTGTACCCGTTCTACGCACGGGGATCTTATAATATTCAGTTGAAACCTTCTTATATAACGAACAGCAGTTGGTTTGCATATTTTAAGATATGCTGGCCAAACTATTATACATAGCTTCATTTTATGTTGTTTTTTGTTGTTCCGGATCGGTATGACAATCAATAAAAGGTTAAATTACCTCTGTGTCTGCCGGTCGATCCTATAACGGTAGGCTTACTTTTATTTTTACTATCTGATCTCGTTTGCATGGCTCAATCACGTCCTGGTTGAAGTTCGTTCGCTACGCTCACTCACCTGTATGTTGGAGCTCGTTCGCTGCGCTCACTTTCCTTCAGGTTAGCTCGTTCGCTACGCTCACTTGCCTTCAGGTTAGCTCGTTCGCTACGCTCACTCGCCTCCAGGTTGCAAATTAGCTGTTGTCATAAATGTAAAAGAAATAATAGTGCTAGTGCTGCACCCTGTTGGTAATCCTTGTAACTTTAATGCTATTGAACATCACAGAACAGAACCAACTTGTTTAATTGAAACAGCTGTTAAGATTCAATAATTTCATTTCTCATAAGGTTAACATGGGCTTCCAGAAATTCCACGTCAAAAATCGACAAAAACTTGATTTTCAAGGGTTTACTGTTAAATATCTAACTGTCTCATATTCGATGAAATACGTCTAAAACCATCTCATATATGTATAGTATTTGGAAAATAAGTTTCAGGCGGGACAGTGCTATAGTTATTGAGGAGTAGTTGTAATAAAGTGCGTATTTTAGCGTTACCAAGAGAATGACAGATAGACAGACAGACAGACAGACAGACAGACAGACAGAAATTGAGATAAGGTTTGATTCGGTTTCTCTGACCTATGAAATGTAAAAATAACCAAAAAGTTCATTATTCTAAGCAATGTACAGACAAAACTCTAATTTTATTTATATAGATAAGTTTATTATCAACCAAGTTGAACGTTTTTATTTTATACAAGTCTTATTTTAGGTTTATTCTTTTCTAGACTAGAATAATATTATTCACGTGAGTTTGATTTTTGTCCAAGTTCTAGTTTGATGAAGATGAAGGTTAACATTTTTATTGTATGTATAAGTTTATTATCAACCAAGTTGAACGTTTTTATTTTATACAAGTCTTATTTTAGGTTTATTCTTTTCTAGACTAGAATAATATTATTCACAACACTGATAATAATATTTCATCATTACAAACTTGTTTAGGCCTAGTTGTAAGTTTTATGAAAGTTAAAGTGTTGATCTTAATATCAACTTCTAAAAGTATTATAATTTCATTATTTTGTAATAAAATATTGTTTTTCTATACTAATTTGTACTAGGCTTATTTTATATCCCTAAAATTTTACACTGCTACCACAATGGTTTGTAAAGTTTTTTGGATTTGAAACAATACTTATTCAAGTTTTTGAAGTCATAAAACTTCATTATGAATTGGTAGAAGTTTTAGACGTTTTTTTAATTGAGTAATTTTGTATACATGTAAAACTAGCTATGTTTTGTTAATGCAAGTTAATAAATACTGAATTGAGTGTGACTGCAGTGTAGTATAATAATTTGTAGATTTTTAAAAATAGTACAGAAATTGATTTTTTTTTATAAAAAATAGTTGGGAAATCTATGTTAAGCAGTTGGGAAATTTGAGGCTTCTCCCCCCCCTAGAATTTAACCAAGCAACGCCACTGCCAGTGTTGCCAACCGACCTCTTTGGTTTTCCCCGCATGAAACGACGGAAATCCTCGATTTTCCTCGCAAGGATTCTAAAATTACTCGCAAAATCCTCGATATCATCTAAAGATTAAAATAATTTGAATTTCCCCATATTTACATGATAATATACGTTTCCACGTATTCTTTTTTTACTAGAGGTGCAAATAACCAAACAAACATGCATTAACCTATCGTACTTTAAAAATTAGGGGCTCTGGTAAATAGTGTGAGTGAGTATTGGTCTAGCCATAGACCAATCAACACAATCGAATATATTTAGGCCTATCGAATTGTTATAATTATTATAGAATTGTCTAATCGAATATGATTTAACGCATGCATTATAATCAATGGTAAAAGTATGTTTTCCATCCCTGAGCCCTGACCCTTTTGTCAAATCTGAATAAGTAGTTCATCTTGGTTAATTTCTGGGTGTGCTGATGTCGACGTTGAAATTCTTTAATAAATCATAAACTATTTATTTTTTTAGGGTATAATAATTTAGATAAGCTCTTAATCACACCTTATAGGTGGCCGTGTCTTAATGCTAACAAATAAGAAAAAAACCCTGTGATTCGTTACCTGAATAAATACATTATACATTATATAATACTTATAATAATCATAATATTTGTTATTAACTTTGAAAATTAACAAATTCTAAATTATTGAGATGGGGTCGCCATTTAGGTACGTATTATTGCCCAAATTTGAGTGAAAGATGAGTGTAGAATGGTGTGAGATGATCTGTGTAACTTTGTTACTGACTAAGATAAGCTATTTCATCAGCCAGGATAATTGATTTAAAGCCCAATCATCATGAACAGCTGAGTAATAAATCATAATTTGTTAGGTTCTAAGGGAGTATGTTTTATCTATGGTTCTACTACGTAGGCCTAAGTGAAAGGAAATTTGAATTGAAGGTAACCAACAAACGATAAGTTTATGTACAGGTGAAAATTCTAAAAAGGTGTGGTAGTAAATTGTTAAACACATATCGGCCCCAGTCATATCCTCAATAGTTCAATTCGAATTCACATTCACTTCATAATTAATTACAGGCTTATAGCACACAGCTCAGCTGAGCTGACAGCGACAGCTGGAGCTGAGCATAGCATTACTTCACCTCACTTCAGTCCAGTTTCCAGTTCGGCAGTTAGTTCTAAGTTCACCCTCATTTCATTGTCTTCTTCTTCATCTACTTGTTCTTATCTTAGATCTTGATTGGTTGATTGATTGATGATTGAATTTTTTCAGTTGCGGACGCTGTTCTTTCAATGCTTAGATTCAGAGGGATTTTCAATATATTTTTAAAGAGACCTAGGCACTGAGAATACTCGATTATCAGAAAAAGCCTAGGTGCTTTACCTGAAAATCCTCGAAAATACTCGCAAAATCTGAATCCTCGCATAAATCCTCGCAGGGTCTGGAAATTGTAAAGAAAAAAATAAACGTTCTTTACTTACTTATTACTTCAAAATATACTCTTTACGTTAATTGATCATTCCATCACTAAAATCGCCTCACACCTTTATGTAATGCAATTTGGCTATTCCATATAGGTGTGAGTACAACAAAAGTTGCCCCCTGGTGGGGTTTCAATGAATTTAATTTAGTTGATCAGACAACTGAGGACCAATCACAGAGCCGGCAGTGGAAGTAAGATGTTGTATTGAGCCCTGATAATTGTGTATCCCAGAAGTCCGATTTATGGACCGTTGAGAGGTCTGATATGTCCTCCTGAAAGTGCTTTCAATAATCTTAAACGTAACACTTCTTAAGATGCAATAAAAAGTATATCAAATACTCTGAATGCAAAATTACACTCTTTGTTGAAACTTTGTTAAAACATTGGTTTTGACTCTGAAATATTGAAACGATTATGCAAAATATTGATGAACCAATATATAATAAATTATGTGTCAATTGACTACTTAATGATATTGTACTTTATTGCAATTGTTCGGTTAAGCCGATTACCTTGAAAAGGTTAACACAGGAGAATTAATAAAATTGATGAAAGAATAAGCTTTGTGTATTATCACTATAAATAATACAAATATTACAAATAATCAATATTAATATTCAAGTTTCTGCTAAAATTAATAATATTCAAGTTTCAGCTATTATTTATAATATTCTAGTTTCTACTAATTACACTTCAATTTAATGTGAGAGAGTATTGATTGTGGTCTTTTTGACTTTCTTTCCTGAAATATTGACAGCAGAGCCTCGGGAACCTAGGTTTAATTTATTCAATCTGTTTTAGGCTATTAGGCTTCCCAAAGTATGGTAT